GACCCCCCTATAGAGCTGGGAACTCCCTAATTAATGGGGTCAGACCCCTCTGTAGGGCGGAATCCCATAATTAAGCGGGGGGACCTCCCTATAGGGATGTGAACCCCATAATTAGTGGGGTGAGACCCCTCTGTGGGGCTGGGAACTCCCTAATTAATGGGGTGAGACCCCTCTATTGGGGTCTAATTAATGGGGTGAGACCCCTTTGGGGTCTCCATATAGGGCTGAGCATCCCTTAATTAATGGGGTGAGACCCCATTTGGGGTCCGTTTATAGGGCTGAGCATCCCTTAATTAATGGGGTGAGACCCCTTTGGGGTCCGTTTATAGGGCTGAGCATCCCTTAATTAATGGGGTGAGACCCCTTTGGGGTCCGTTTATAGGGCTGAGCATCCCCTAATTAATGGGGTGAGACCCCCCTATAGGGCTGGGAATCCCAAAATTAATGGGGTGAGACCCCTCTATGGGGGTCTAATTAACGGGGTGAGACCCCTTTGGGATCTGTCCCTCATTAATAGGGTGAACCCTCTTTGGGGTCCCCCCCTAATTAATGGGGTGAGCCCTCTTTGGGATTGGGGTCACCCTCAATGGGGCTGTGCATCCCCCATTGACTGGGAATGACTGGGAATGACTGGCATGACTGGGAATAACTGGGATGACTGGGAATGACCCCATTTGGGATTGGGGTCACCCTGGCCCTACATGGAGTTGTTGCATCCCCCAATTCCTGCCGGGAACGATCCCATAAAGTCTCTCCCTGGCCCTTGATCCCATTCCTGAGAGGCCACACTTCCCAAATCCCTGTTTTTGGGATCTCTGGGTTTGGGATGACCTTGTTTTATGGGATCAGTGATCCCATTATGGGATGAGGGGGTGGGAGGGGCCCAATTCCCTCAAATCCCTGTTTTTGGGATCCCTGGCTTTGGAATGACCTTGTTTTATGGGATCAGTAATCCCATTATGGGATAGGGGGTGGGAGGGGCACAATTCCCCCAATCCCTGTTTTTGGGATCCCTGTTTTGGGACTGACCTTGTTTTATGGGATCAATCCCATTTTTAGGGTGGGAAATGTCCCCTCTGTCCCTCGATCCCATTCCCAGGGGGATCCAAATCCCTGTTTTTGGGATCCCTGGGTTTGGGATGACCTTGTTTTATGGGATGGGGAGGATGAGAGGGGCACAATCCCCCCAATCCCTGTTTTTGGGATCCCTGTTTTTGGGACTGACCTTGTTTTATGGGATCAATCCCATTTTTAGGGTGGGAAATGTCCCCTCTGGCCCTCGATCCCATTCCCAGGGGGATCCAAATCCCTGGTTTTGGGATCCCTGGTTTGGGACTGACCTTGTTTTATGGGATGTGGGGGTGGGAGGGGCACAATTCCCCCAATCCCTGTTTTTGGGATCCCTGTTTTTAGGACTGACCTTGTTTTATGGGATCAATCCCATTTTTAGGGTGGGAAATGTCCCCTCTGGCCCTCGATCCCATTCCCAGGGGGATCCAGATCCCTGTTTTTGGGATCCCTTGTTTTGGGAATGACCTTGTTCCCAAATCCCGGTTTTTTTGGGAGCCGTGGGCGGAGCCGCTGGGAAAGCCCCGCCCCCTTCCCCCCTCCTTCCCCGTCATTCCCGACAAAGCGCGGCAGTTTTTTGGGAATCTCCCGGGGGTGCCTCTTCAGTCCCTGCTCCCGGAGCCTCCTTCCCGCCCTTCCATCCATCCCCAATTCCCGAATTCCCGCTGGATCCATCCCTAATTCCGGCAGGAGGAATTCCCATCCATGTCCCCCCCTCCCTCCCTGTAATTCCCATTGGATCCATCCCGAATTCCCTCAGGAGGAATTCCCACTGGATCCATCCCGAATTCCCACTGGATCCATCCCTAATTCCCACTGGATCCATCCCTAATTCCCTCAGGAGGAATTCCCACTGGATCCATCCCGAATTCCCACCGGATCCATCCCGAATTCCCAAATTCCCGTGGGAGGAATCATCCCATCCCCCCCCCCATCCCGAATTCCCACCGGATCCATCCCGAATTCCTGCAGGAGGAAAGGAGCGATTCCCACATCCCGAATTCCCGCTGGATCCATCTCTAATTCCTGCAGGATCCATCCCTAATTCCCCCCAGGATCCATCCCCCCCATCCCAAATTTCCTGCAGGATCCATCCCTAATCCCCACAGGATCCATTCCCCCCATCCCGAATTCCCTCAGGAGGAATTACCACTGGATCCATCCCTAATTCCTGCAGGATCCATCCCAAATTCCCTCAGGATCCATCCCTAATCCCTCAGGATCCATCCCCTTATCCCGAATTCCCAAAACTGGGATCCATCCCTAATTCCTGCAGGAGGAAAGGAGCAATTCCCATCCCCTCCCCCCATTCCAAATTTCCTGCAGGATCCATCTCCCCATCCCTAATTTCCTGCAGGATCCATCCCCAATTCCCACAGGATCCATCCCTAATTCCCACAGGAGGAATTCCATCCATCCCCCATCCCGAATTCCCACAGGATCCATCCCTCCCCCATCCCAAATTCCCTCAGGAGGAATTCCCACAGGATCCATCCCTAATTCCCACTGGATCCATCCCTAATTCCCTCAGGATCCATCCCAAATTCCCACAGGATCCATCCCAAATTCCCTCAGGATCCATCCCTAATTCCTGCAGGATCCATCCCAAATTCCTGCAGGATCCATCCCAAATTCCCACAGGATCCATCCCTAATTCCCTCAGGATCCACCCCTAATTCCCACAGGATCCATCCCTAATTCCCACAGGAGGAATTCCCACCCTCCTGCTCTTCCCAAGTTTTTTTCCTTTCCCACTTCTTTCCCTCCTATTTTTCCCACCTTCCTTCATATTTTTCCCACTTCTTTCCCACTTACCCTCCTATTTTTCCCATTTTTCCTGCCTTCCCTCCTACTTTTCCCCCTCTTTTCCCTCTTTCCCTCCTATTTCTCCACTTATTTCCTACTTTCCCTTATATTTTTCCCATTTTTTCCTGCCTTCCCTCCTACTTTTCCCACTGTTTTCCCTCTTTCCCTCATATTTTTCCCACCTTCCTATTTTTCCCACTTCTTTCCCACTTTCCCTCCTATTTTCCCCACTTCTTTCCTGCTTTCCCTCCTATTTTTCCCAATTTCCCTCACATTTTTCCCTCCATTTCCCCTCACATTTTCCCCACTTTTTCCCTCACATTTTTCCCACTTTTTCCCTCACATTTTCCCCACTTTTTCCCTCACATTTTCCCCACTTTTCCCCTCACATTTTTCCCACTTTTTCCCTCACATTTTTCCCACTTTTTCCTTCACATTTTTCCACTTCCCCTCACATTTTTCCTGCTTTTTCCCTCACATTTTCCCACTTTTTCCCTCACATTTTCCCCCTTTTTCCCTCACATTTTCCCCACTTTTCCCTCACATTTTCCCCACTTTTTCCCTCCCATTTTCCCCACTTTTCCCCTCACATTTTTCCCACTTTTTCCTCCCATTTTTCCCACTTTTTCCCTCACATTTTTCCCTCCATTTCCCCTCACATTTTCCCCCTTTTTCCCCTCACATTTTCCCCACTTTTTCCCTCACATTTTTCCCACTTTTTCCCTCCCATTTTCCCCACTTTTTCCCTCCCATTTTTCCCACTTTCCCTCACATTTTTCCCCACTTTCCCTCCCATTTTTCCCTCCCATTTTTCCCTTTTTTCCTCCTCTTTTCCCCCTTTCCAAAGGGCTGGGGCTCCTCCTTCCCTGCCCGTGCCTGGAGAAGTGGGAGGATTTTCCTTGGGAATATCAGTGTAAAACAGCATTTCCCTTGGGAATCTCAGGAAAAAACGGGATTTTCCCTTGGGAATCTGCGGGAAAGGCGCCTTTGGAGCGGGTTGGGAAGGGACAACCCCGACCCCGGGTTTTGCAGGATCGACCTCCGGGGGATCTTTGGGATTAACCCAGGGATTTGGGCTCCTTTAATCCGGATTTCTTTGCCCTCAGCTGCCCTGCCCTTGGGAAGGAAATTCCAGGCCTGGAATCCCGTCGGTTCTGCCGGCTGGGCCAGGGCCTGGGGGCCATTCCTGATCCCAAAAAAACCCAGGGATGCAGGGAATGGCTTCCCACGGACAGAGGGGACATTGGGAAGGGAATTCCCGGCTAGGATGGAATTCCCAGGGAAGCTGTGGCTGCCCCTGGATCCCTGCAGTGTCCCAGGCCGGGTTGGATCCCCTGGGATAGCGGGAATTGTCCCTGAACATGGAATGGGATGATCCTGAAAATCCCTTCCCACCCAACCCATTCCAGGATAAAGGACACTTAGGATCCACTCAGAGGGGTTTTTATGGAATGTGGGGATGGAAAAGGCAGGGAAGGGGAAGGGAGACCCTTCCCTGAGTGCCGAGATTCCCAGGGAACCCCCCCTTGTTCCCGGAACTCCTTCCCAGAGAGGAGTTGGGCTGGGCATGGATCCAATGTCAGGCTCTGGATCCAGGCTGGGAGAGCTGGGAATGGCCAGGCTGGAGCAGGGAAGGATCCAGGGAGAGCTGGGAGCCCCTCCCAGAGCCTGCAGGGGCTCCAGGAGAGCTGGAGAGGGGTTTGGGATCAGGGCCTGGAATGGCAGGACACAGGGAATGGCTTCCCACTGGGAAAGGGGAGATTGGGGGGAGATTGGGAAGGGATTCCCGGCTGGGCTGGAATTCCCAGGGAAGCTGTGGCTGCCCCTGGATCCCTGGAGTGTCCCAGGCCGGGTTGGATCCCCTGGGACAGCGGGAGGTGCCGGGATCGGACCGGGCTCATCCCTGAGCTCCCTTCCCAGCGGAGCCATCCCGGGATTCCCGTCCATCCCCGCCATCCCCCCCATCCTCAGGCATCGCCTCGGGGCTCTCCTTTCCCCCCCTCCATCTCCATCCTTTCAGAATTCCCGCTTTTCCCGCGTATCCCTCTCATCCCTGCCCGCTTTATTTCCATATTTTTTTTGGGATCCGCTCCAACCCTCCCTAAAAACCGACCTGACCGGGGGGGGGGGCTCTTCCCGCTTCCAAAAAAACCCCGGGAGCACATTCCGCACATTCCCACCTTCCCACATTCCCACCATCCCGTTATCCATGGGATGACTCAGCGATGGCGGCGGGAAAAAGCGGGATGCGCATTCCCGATCCCTCGGGATCGCCATGGCCCTGACGGCCCGGGCGCTGCGCGGGATCCGCCCTGGGATCCGCCCGGGGATCCTGGGAAATGCTGCCCGTGCCTGCAGCAGGTACCGCACGTCCCGACGGCAATCTCTGTTTTTTCCCGATATTTTTATTTTTTTCCCGATATTTTTATATTTTTCCCCGATATTTTTATTTTTTCCCCGATATTTTTATTTTTTTCCCGATTTTTTTCCCCGATATTTTTAATTTTTTCCCGGTATTTTTTATTTTTCCCGGTGTTTCTTTTTTAATTTTATTTTTCCCCCGTGCCGGGATTGATGGGAAAAGGGGGGAGGAGAGGGGGTTGGGAATTGCGGTGGGATGAGGGAATTTTGGGAGCGAGGAGGGAAAGGGGAGGGGGATGGAATGGGGTGTTGGGAAGGGGGAATGCCGGGATATCGTGTAGGAAGTGGGGGTTGTTCTGCCGGGAATCAGTGCTGGGAATGTCGGGGGGGATCCAGGCTTGGATCTGTGTCTTGGATCTACTTTGGAAAGGGGAGAAAGAAACCAGGGAAAAATAAACCAGGGAAAAATCTCCCTCTTTTCCATGAATTCCGTGGGGGTTTTAGTCTGGATTTTAAGGATTTATGGATGTTTCCATCCCTGGAATCAGTGCTGGGAATGTCTGGGGGGATCCAGGCTTGGATCAGTGTCAATCCCTTGGGAAAGGGGGAAATAAACCAAGGAAAAATAAATGAGGGAAAAATCTCCCTCTTTTCCATGAATTCCACGAGGTTTTTAGCCTGGATTTTAAGGATTTATGGATTTCTTGGATGTTTCTGTCCCTGGAATCAGTGCTGGGAATGTTTGGGGGGGTCCAGGCTTGGATCTGTGTCAATCCCTTGGAAAAGGGGGAAAAAACAAGGAAAAATCAAGCAAGGAAAAATAAAACCAGGGAAGAATCTTTCTGTTTTCCATGGATTTAGCCTGGATTTTAAGGATTTATGGATGTTTCCATCCCTGGAATCAGTGCTGGGAATGTTTGGGGGGATCCAGGCTTGGATCTGTGTCAATCCCTTGGAAAGGGGAGAATGAAAACATGGAAAAATAAAGCAGGGAAAAATCTCCCTCTTTTCCATGAATTCCACGAGGTTTTTAGTCTGGATTTTAAGGATTTGTGGATGTTTTTATTCCTGGAATCAGTGCTGGGAATGCCTGAGGTGATTCCAGGCCAGGCTTGGATCTGTGTCAATCCCTTGGAAAAGAGGGAAATAAACCAAGGAAAAATAAATGCAGGGAAAAATCTCCCTCTTTTCCATGAATTCCATGAGGTTTTTAGTCTGGATTTTAAGGATTTCTGGATGTTTTTATTCCTGGAATCAGTGCTGGGAATGTCTGGGGGGATCCAGACCTGGATCTGTGTCAATCCCTTGGAAAAGGGGGAGAAGGAAAACCAGGAAAAATAAACCAGGGAAAAATAAAACCAGGGAAAAATCTCCCTCTTTTCCATGAATTCCATGGGGGTTTTAGTCTGGATTTTGAGGATTTATGGATGTTTCTGTCCCTGGAATCAGTGCTGGGAATGTTTGGGGGGATCCAGGCTTGGATCTGTGTCAATCCCTTGGGAAGAGAGGAATAAAGCAGGGAAAAATAAACCAGGGAAAAATAAAGCCCTTTCCCTTCCTTTTTTCCCCCCCTTTCCTTCCCTTTCCCCCCCCCTTTTTCCTCCCCCTTTTTTCCTCCCCCCTTTTTTTTCCTCCCCCTTTTTTTTCCTCTCCCCTTTTTTTCCTCCCCCTTTTTTTCCTCCCCTTTTTTCCTCCCTTTTTTCCTCCCCCTTTTTTTCCTCCCCCCTTTTTTTCCTCCCTCTTTTTTTTTCCTCCCCTTTTTCTCTCCCCTTTTCTCCCTCTTTTTCCTCCCCCTTTTTTCCTCCCCCTTTTTCCTCCCCTTTTTTTCTCCCCCTTTTTTTCCTCCCTTCCCCCCTTCCCCCCTTTTCCCCCTCTGCTCTCCCTTTTTCCCCCCCTTTTTGCCTTTTCCCCCTTTTCCTCCCCTCTTTCCTCCCCTTTCCTCCTCCCCTTTTCCTCCCTCTTTTCCTCCCTTTTTCCCTCTTTTTCCTCTTTTTTCCCCCCCTTTTTCCCTTTTTCCCCTTCTTTCCTTTTCCTCCCTTTTCCTCCCTTTTTCCCTTCTTCCCTCCTTTTTCCCCTTTTTCCCTCCTCTTTCCCCTTTTCCCCCCTTTTCCCTCCCTTTTCCCCCCTTTTTCCTTTTTCTCCTTTTCCCCCTTTTCCTTCTTTTTCCTCCCTCCTCTTTTTCCACCTCTTTATTCCTTTCCCCCTCTTTTTCCCCCTTTCTCTCTTTTCCACCTCTTTATTCCCCTTTTCCCCCCTTTCCCTTCTTTTCTCCCCCTGTTTTTCTCCCCTTTTTTCTCCCCTTTTTTCTCCCCCTTTTCCCCCCTGGAAAACTCTGGGATATCTTCCCCTTTTCCCTGGGAATACAAGGATTTCCCACCACACCCCCTGCTTTTCCTGCCTCCCTCTTTCCTTCCTTGATTTCTTGCCTGGAAAACTCTGGGATATCCTCCCCTTTTCCCTTCCCAGGGATCCAGGGCTGCCTTTCCCTCCCTGTTATCCCAGGCTGTGATTCCTGACTGGAATTCTTTCCCTGTTTTTTCCCCTGGCTGTCATTCCCAAAGGGAATTCTCTCCCTGTTTTCCAGGGTTTGTGTGTGGGGTGTCATTCCCATGGAATTCTCTCCCTGTTTTCCAGGGCTGTGTGGCTGTTGTGGGGGGTCATTCCCATGGGAATTCTCTCCCTGTTTTCCAGGGGTGTGTGGGTGTCATTCCCATGGAATTCTCTCCCTGTTTTCCAGGTGTGTGTGGGTGTCATTCCCATGGAATTCTCTCCCTGTTTTCCAGGTGTTTGTGGATGCTGTGGGATGTCATTCCCATGGAATTCTCTCCCTGTTTTCCAGGCGTGTGTGGATGTTGTGTGGATGTCATTCCCATGGGAATTCTCTCCCTGTTTTCCAGGGGTGTGTGGCTGTTGTGGGGTGCCATTCCCATGGAATTCTCTCCCTGTTTTCCAGGTGTTTGTGGCTGTTGTTGGGGGTCATTCCCATGGAATTCTTTCCCTGTTTTCCAGGTGTTTGTGGCTGTTGTGGGGGGTCATTCCCATGGGAATTCTCTCCCTGTTTTCCAGGTGTTTGTGGCTGCTCTGGGGGTGTCATTCCCATGGAATTCTCTCCCTGTTTTCCAGGGGTGTGTGGGTGTCATTCCCATGGGAATTCTTTCCCTGTTTTCCAGGAGTTTGTGGATGTTGTGGGGTGCCATTCCCATGGGAATTCTCTCCCTGTTTTCCAGGGGTGTGTGGCTGTTGTGGGGGGTCATTCCCATGGAATTCTCTCCCTGTTTTCCAGGTGTTTGTGGATGCTGTGGGATGTCATTCCCATGGAATTCTCTCCCTGTTTTCCAGGTGTTTGTGGATGCTGTGTGGGGTCATTCCCATGGGAATTCTTTCCCTGTTTTCCAGGAATTTGTGGATGCCATTCCCATGGAATTCTCTCCCTGTTTTCCAGGTGTTTGTGGCTGTTGTTGGGGGTCATTCCCATGGAATTCTCTCCCTGTTTTCCAGGCTGTGTGGGATGTCATTCCCATGGAATTCTCTCCCTGTTTTCCAGGTGTTTGTGGCTGCTGTGGGGGTCATTCCCATGGAATTCTCTCCCTGTTTTCCAGGTGTTTGTGGCTGCTGTGGGATGTCATTCCCATGGGAATTCTCTCCCTGTTTTCCAGGTGTTTGTGGCTGTTATGTGGATGTTGTGGGATGTCATTCCCATGGGAATTCTCTCCCTGTTTTCCAGGGGTGTGTGGGATGTCATTCCCATGGAATTCTCTCCCTGTTTTCCAGGGGTTTGTGGCTGTTGTGAGGGTGTTGTTGGATGTCATTCCCATGGAATTCTCTCCCTGTTTTCCAGGGCTGTGTGTGGCGTCATTCCCATGGAATTCTCTCCCTGTTTTCCAGGCTGTGTGGGTGCCATTCCCATGGAATTCTCTCCCTGTTTTCCAGGTGTTTGTGGCTGTTGTTGGGGGTCATTCCCATGGAATTCTCTCCCTGTTTTCCAGGGGTTTGTGGCTGTTGTTGGGGGTCATTCCCATGGAATTCTCTCCCTGTTTTCCAGGTGTTTGTGGCTGTTGTGGAGCTCTCCGGCCTCGCTACAAGCGCCTGGTTGACAACATTTTCCCGGAGGATCCCGAGGTCAGGGAGGCTCATCCCGGAATTCCTGCGGCTTCCAGGGGTGTGGGAAGGGCTTTTCCAGCTTTTCCAGCTCCTCCCCAAGGGATCCTGGGAATGCTGATCCCGGGAGGGGTCTGGGAATGCGGCTGGGGGAGGCTTTTCCAGGGATTGGCCGGGCTGGAAGGGTGGGAGGGAGGGATTTGGGGTGGATTTGGGGATGGGTGGAGGGATTGGGGATGGATTTTGGGATGGCTGGATTTGGGATGGAGGGATTTGGGATGGAGGGATTTGGGATGGATTTGGGATGGATGGATGGATTTGGGATGGATTTTGGGATGCATTTGAGATGGATTTTGGGATGGATTTTGGGATAGATGATGGATGGATGGCTGGATTTGGGATGGATGGATTTTGGGATGGATGGATTTTGGGATGGATGGATGGATTTGGGGATGGATGGATGAATGAATGGCTGGATTTGGGATGGCTGGATTTGGGATGTTTGGCTGGATTTGGGATGAATTTGGAATGAATGGATGGATTTTGGGATGGATGGATTTGGGATGGATGGATTTGGGATGGCTGGATTTGGGATGAAGGGAGGAATGGATTTTGGAATGGATGGCTGGATTTGGGATGGATGGATTTTGGGATGGCTGGATTTGGGATGGCTGGCTGGATTTTGGGATGGATGGCTGGATTTGGGATGGCTGAATTTTGGGAAGGATGGCTGGATTTGGGATGAATGGCTGGATTTTGGGATGGCTGGATTATGGGATGGATGAATGGATTTTGGGATGGATGGATGGATTTGGCATGGATGGGTGGATTTAGGGATGGGTGGATTTAGGGATGGCTGACTGGCTGGATTTTGGGATGGATGGGGGAATTTTGGGGATGACTGGCTGGATTTGGGATGGATGGAGGAATTTTGGGATGGATGGCTGGATTTTGGGACGGATGGCTGGATTTTGGGAGGATCCCTGGAGATCCATCCACCCCCCCCCTTTCCGCCCCGATCCACACCCCAATCCCTGCGGATCCGGGAATGCTGGGCCTGGGGGTCTGGATTGGGGGTGTGGATTGGGGGTCTGGATTGGGGGTGTGGATTGGGGGTGTGGATTGGGGTGGATTGGGGGTGGATTGGGGTGTGGATTGGGGTGTGGATTGGGGTGTGGGTTGGGGGTGTGGATTGGGGTGTGGATTGGGGGTGGATTGGGGTGTGGATTGGGGTCTGGATTGGGGGTGTGGATTGGGGTCTGGATTGGGGGTGGGGTTGGGGGTGGATTGGGGGTGGATTGGGTGATCTGTCTGACTGGGGTGTGGATTGGGGGTGGATTGGGGTCTGGATTGGGTGTGGATTGGGGTCTGATTGGGGTCTGATTGGGGCTCTGATTGGGGTCTGGATTGGGGGTGGGTTGGGGGTGGGTTGGGGGTGTGGGTTGGGGTGTGGGTCTGGGGTCTGATTGGGGGTGGATTGGGGGGTGGATCGGTCTGATTGGGGTGGATTGGGGGTGGATTGGGGTGGATTGGGGTCTGATTGGGGGTGGATTGGGGGTGGATTGGGGTGGATTGGGGTGTGGATTGTCTGGATTGGGGTCTGATTGGGGGTGGGTTGGGGGTGGGTTGGGGTCTGGATTGGGGTGTGGATTGGTCTGGATTGGGGGTGTGGATTGGGGGTGTGGATTGGGGGTCTGGATTGGGGGTCTGGATTGGGGGTGTGGATTGGGGTCTGGATTGGGGGTGGATTGGGTGGATTGGGGTCTGGATTGGGGTCTGGATTGGGGGTGTGGATTGGGGGTGTGATCCGGGTGTGGGATTCCCGGGAATGCTCCCGCAGGATGGGCTGGTGAAAACCAACATGGAGAAGTTGACCTTCTACGCCCTCTCTGCCCCCGAGAAGCTCGACAGGATCGGGGCCTACCTGTCCGAGAGGCTCATCCGGGACGTGGGCAGGCACCGATACGGGTTGGGATCGGGATAGGGAATGGGGTGGGAATGGGAATGGCTCATCCGGGACGTGGGCAGGCACCGATACGGGTCGGGATCAACGGGAATGGGAATGGGATGGGAATGGGGATGGGATGGGAATGGGAGTGGCTCATCCGGGACGTGGGCAGGCACCGATACGGGTCGGGATCCCCGGAAATGGGAATGGGAATGGGAGCGGCTCATCCGCGATGTGGGCAGGCACCGATACGGGTTGGGATCAGCGGGAATGGGAACGGGAATAGGGTGGGAATGGGGATGGGAGCGGCTCATCCGGGACATGGGCAGGCACCGATACGGGTCGGGATCGGGATTGGGAATGGAATGGGAATGGGGGTGGGAACAGCTCATCTGGGATGGGGGCAGGCACCAATACGGGTTGGGATCAGAGGGAATGGGAATGGGGGTGGGAATGGGAATGGAATGGGGGCAGGCACTGATACGGGTCGGATCCGGGAATGGGAATGGGAATGGGGGTGGGAACGGCTCATCTGGGATGGGGGCAGGCACCGATACGGGTCGGGATTGGGAATGGGAATGGGAATGGGGTGGGAATGGGGTGGGGATGGGGATGGGATGGGGATGGGAATGGCTCATCCGGATGTGGGCAGAGCACCGATACGGGTCGTGGATTGGGAAATGGATCGGGAATGGGGGTGGGAATGGGAATGGCTCATCCGGGATGCCGGCAGGCACCGATACGGGTCGGGATCGGGAATGGGAATGGGGATGGGAACAGGGAATGGGGTGGGAATGGGAATGGGATGGGAGCTGCTCATCTGAGACGTCGGCAGGCACCGATACGGGTCAGGATTGGGATCAGGAATGGGGTGGGAATGGGATGGGGATGGGAATTGGAATGGCTCATCCGGGATGTGGGCAGGCACCGATACGGGTCGGGATCAGCGGGAATGGGGATGGGATGGGAATGGGAATGGGATGGGAACGGCTCATCCGGGACGTGGGCAGGCACCGATACGGGTCGGGATCAGCGGGAATGGGAACAGGGAATGGGGTGGGAATGGGATGGGGATGGGAATGGGATGGGAACGGCTCATCCGCGACATCAGCAGGCACCGATATGGGTTGGGATCAGGAACGGGGATGGGAACAGGGAATGGGGTGGGAATGGGATGGGAACGGCTCATCCGGGATGTGGGCAGGCACCGATACGGGTCGGGATCAGCGGGAATGGGGATGGGGATGGGATGGGGATGGGGATGGGATGGGGATGGGATGGGAATGGGAGAGGCTCATCCGCAACATTGGCAGGCACCAATACGGGTCGAGATCAGCGGAATGGGGATGGGGATGGGGATGGGAATGGGAGCGGGATGGGGATGGGAGTGGGAATGGGAATGGGGTGGGAATGGGGATGGGAATGGGAGTGGGAATGGGAATGGGATGGGAATGGGAATGGGGTGGGAATGGGAATGGGATGGGATGGGAATGGGGATGGGAATGGGAGCGGATGGGGATGGGAGGAATGGGAATGGGGTGGGAATGGCAGGAATGGAATGGGGATGGGAATGGGAATGGGAATGGGGTGGGAATGGGAATGGGGTGGGATGGTAATGGGGATGGGGATGGGAATGGGGGTGGGAATGGGATGGGAATGGGGATGGGAATGGGGAGGGATAGGGGTGGGAATGGGGATGGGGAAGGGAATGGGGATGGGAATGCCAGTGGGAATGGGGATGGGATCCCAGTAATCCAGGACTGGGGCACAAACTGGGAATAAACCAACCTTCCCACCCTTTGTGGGGCTGGAAAAACATCCCCCCTGATCCCTCTTTTCCCCTGGATAAGCTGGGAATCCCGGGATCCCAGAAGAATTTGGAGTGGGAAGCTCCCTCAAATCCCATCCCATTCCATGTTCCTCCCACCATCCCAGGCTGCTCCAGGGGCATCCAACTCCCAAGGATCCAGGACCAGGGAATAAACTGGGAATAAACCAACCTTCCTATCCCCTATTGGGGCTGGAAAAACATCCCCCCAATCCCTCTTTTCCCCTGGATAAGCCGGGAATCCCGGGATCCCGGAAGAATTTGGAGTGGGAAGCTCCCTCAAATCCCATCCCATTCCATGTTCCTCCCACCTCCCACCATCCCAGGCTGCTCCAGGGGCATCCAACTCCCAAGGATCCAGGACCAGGGAATAAACTGGGAATAAACCAACCTTCCCACCCTTTGTGGGGCTGGAAAAACATCCCCCCAATCCCTCTTTTCCCCTGGATAAACTGGGAATCCCGGGATCCCAGAAGAATTTGGAGTGGGAAGCTCCCTCAAATCCCATCCTATTCCACAGGCAGGGACTTCCCACCATCCCAGGCTGCTTCCCAGGGCTCCAGGACCAGGGAATAAACTGGGAATAAACCAACCTTCCCACCTTTTTGGGGCTGGAAAAACATCCCCCTGATCCCTCTTTTCTCCTGGACAAGCCAGGAATCCCAGGATCCCAGAAGAATTTGGAGTGGGAGGCTCCCTCAAATCCCATCCCATTCCACAGGCAGGGACTTCCCACCATCCCAGGCTGCTCCAGGGGCATCCAACTCCCAAGGATCCAGGACCAGGGAATAAACTGGGAATAAACCCAACCTTCCTATCCCCTTCCTTTTGGGGCTGGAAAAACATCCCCCCAATCCCACTTTTTCCCCTGGATAAACTGGGAATCCCAGGATCCTGGAAGAATTTGGAGTGGGAAGCTCCCTCAAATCCCATCCCATTCCACTGTTCAGGGACTTCCCACCATCCCAGGCTGCTTCCCAGGGCTCCAGGACCAGGGGATAAACTGGGAATAAACCCAACCTTCCCACCCCCTTTGTGGGGCTGGAAAAACATTCCCCTTATCCCTCTTTTTCCCTGGATAAGCCGGGAATCCCAGGATCCCAGAAGAATTTGGAGTGGGAAGCTCCCTCAAATCCCATCCCATTCCATGTTCCAGGGCCACCTCCCACCATCCCAGGCTGCTCCAGGGGCATCCAACTCCCAAGGATCCAGGACCGGGGAATAAACTGGGAATAAACCAACCTTCCCATCCCCTTTGTGGGGCTGGAAAAACATCCCCCTGATCCCTCTTTCCCCCTGGATAACCCCCCCATCCATCCCTGCCGCTCCCAAATTCCCCAATTCCCCCTGGAAAACCTCCCTCCCTCCCTTTGGAACCTCCCTCAGATCAAAAATCCCCCAATTTCCCTCCCCGGTTTTTTTCCCGGGTTCCGGGCGCGGCTCATCCCGACGTTCCCATCCCCTTATCCCGGTTTTTTTTTGGGGTTTTCCCGGATCCCCAGGCACGTGTGCATCGCCATGGAGGCGCTGGACCAGCTGCTGATGGCCTGCCACTGCCAGAGCATCAACCTGTTCGTGGAGAGCTTCCTCAAGATGGTGGCCAAGCTGCTCGAGTCCGACAAGCCCAACCTGCAGATCCTCGGCACCAACTCCGTGAGCTCCAAATCCCAACCCATCCAACCAGGAATTCATCGGGAAAAGGGCGGGGGACGAGCGTTGGGGGCTTTCCAGGATTCTGGACTTGCTACTCCCGGATTTTTGGCAGTCTGGGATTTTTTTTGCATCCATTTTTTCCTGAAATTCCTTGGGAAAAGGGCAGGGAAGGAGGGTTTGTGGTTTTCCAGGAGTCTGGAATTGTTTTGGCGGTCTGGGGGTTTTTTTGGCATCCCCTTTTTTGCCTGAAATTCCTCAGGAAAAGGACAGGGAAGGAGGGTTTGTGGTTTTCCAAGAGTCTGGAATTGCTGGTCCTGGATTTTTGGCAGTCTGGGATTTTTTTTTCCATCCCCCTTTTTCCCTGAAATTCCCTGGAAAAAAGACAGGGAACACCCTCAGTGGGGAGGGTTTTGTGGTTTTCCAGGATTCTGGAATTGCTGCTCCTGCTTTTTTGGCAGTCTGGGATTTTTTTGTATCCATTTTTCCCTGAAATTCCTCAGGAAAAGGACGAGGAGACCATCATGGGAGAGTTTGTGGCTTTCCAGGAGTCTGGAATTGTTTTGGCAGTCTGAGGATTTTTTTTTCCATCCCCTTTTTGCCTGAAATTCCTTGGGAAAAGAGCAGGGAACACCCTCATGGGGAGGAGTTTTGGTGGGAGTTTTTTTGGGGGAATTTTCCAGGATTCTGGAATTGTTTTGGCGGTCTGGGGGTTTTTTCTGGCATCCCCCCCTTTTCCCTGAAATTCCTCAGGAAAAGGACGGGGAAGGAGGGTTTGTGATTTTCCAGGATTCTGGAATTGCTGCTCCTGGATTTTTGGTGGTCTGGGATTTTTTTTCCATCCCCCTTTTTGCCTGAAATTCCCTGGGAAAAGGACGAGGAAAACCATCATGGGGAGGGTTTGGTGGTTTTCCAGGATTCTGGAATTGCTGATCCCGCTCTTTTGGCAGTCTGGGATTTTTTTTCCATCCCCTTATTCCCTGAAATTCCTCAGGAAAAGGATGGAGAAGGAGGGTTTGTGGTTTTCCAGGATTCTGGAATTGCTGCTCCTGGATTTTTGGCAGTCTGGGATTTTTTTGCATCCATTTTTTCCTGAAATTCCTTGGGAAAAGGACGGGGAAAACCCTCATGGGGATGGTTTGTGGTTTTCCAGGATTCTGGAATTGTTTTGGCAGTCTGGGATTTTTTTTCCATCCCCTTTTTTCCCTGAAATTCCTTGGGAAAAGGGCAGGGAATACCCTCAGCGGGGAGGGTTGGTGGTTTTCCAGGATTCTGGAATTGCTGCTCCCGCTCTTTTGGCACTCTGGGATTTTTTTTCCATCCCCTTTTTCCCTGAAATTCCTTGGAAAAACAACAGGGAACACCCTGAGTGGGGAGGGTTTTTGTTTTTCCAGGATTCTGGAATTGTTTTGGCAGTCTGGGATTTTTTTCCATCCCCTTTTTCCCTGAAATTCCTTGGGAAAAGGACAGGGAACACCATCGAGGGGGGATTTCTGGTGTCCCCCTGGTGTTGTGGGAAGGAGGGTTTGTGGTTTTCCAGGATTCTGGAATTGCTGCTCCCAGATTTTTGGCAGTCTGGGATTTTTTTTCCATCCCCTTTTTGCCTGAAATTCCTCAGGAAAAGGATGGGGAAGGAGGGTTTGTGGTTTTCCAGGAGTCTGGAATTGTTTTGGCAGTCTGGGATATTTTTTCCATCCCCCATTTTGCCTGAAATTCCTTGGGAAAAGGGCAGGGAACACCCTCAGGGGGAGAAGTTTTGGTGGGAGTTTTTTTGGGGGGAGTTTTCCAGGAGTCTGGAATTGTTTTGGCAGTCTGGGGTTTTTTTTCCATCCCCTTTTTTGCCTGAAATTCCTTGGCAAAAGGGCAGGGAAGGAGGCTTTGTGGCTTTCCAGGATTCTGGAATTGCTGCTCCCACTCTTTTGGCAGTCTGGGATTTTTTTGCATCCCTTTTTTCCCTGAAATTCCTCGGGAAAAGGACGGGGAGGGAGGGTTTGTGGTTTTCCAGGAGTCTGGAATTGCTGCTCCTGCCTTTTTTGGCACTCCGGGATTTTTTTCCCACCCCCCCTCCCCGGCATTCCAGGCTTTTTCCAAGGGTTCAGCACACCTGGATTCTGGGATCCAGCTCAGGGAGGGTTGGGAGATGTTCCCTCCTCCTCATTCCCCCCCCTCCCATCCCACAATTCCCATGGGAAAGGCAGGAAAAGCCCATCCCATTGTTTATGGAATGTGGGTGAGTCATTCCCAAGCTCCCCCCCCTCCCCTTTCCAGGCAGATCCTGAAAATCCAACCCCCTAATCCCTCCAAGGCCCATCCCTTAATCCCGGGAGGGAGGGGCTGGAAAATCCGAGCTGAAATCCCCTCGGGATCCTCCCCTGCTCGGTTTTTTTGGGATTTGTGGCCCCTGGCATTCCCAGCCCGCTTTTCCAGGAGCTGCTCTTCCCTCCAAGGGGCTCTTCCCGCTCCTTTTCCGGTGTGGTT